AAAAAAAAAAAAAAAAAAAAAAAAATGCAGCTGGTCCTGGTAAGAGTAGCATTATCCGTTGACAACACCTGATCTGCAATGAGAGTTACAGACAATAATGCCCAATGGGTAGGAGCTCAGATGGGAAGCATTAGGTAGGTATCTGGGTGAAATGAATTTCGCAAAAAAGGGACAGGGACTTGGGACAGAGAAGACAGTTAAAGACAAACCATATGACTTTACCAATGAGCTTCTTCTGCTTTAGGTGACAAGTGTGTAAGTCAGTTGCAAGCACCTTCTCAATCAGGGCTTTTCAATCTTGGCTGTGTTTTTGTTTTAAATGGCTACTGCAGTGTCCACAGTAATTATACTATGGAAATACTAATTCATTCCAGTCTCCTTACACTCACTGAGGGATAACAGTTCTAAACACTAGTGAAATGAGTGTTCTTGGGCACACCTTGAAGGATACCCCATTCTTATTCCAATACCAGGGGAGTGCCTGACTCTATAGCTGACTCTATGGCTCTGCATTGCAACTTCAACTCTGAGGTTTGGTTGACCCACACCTATTCTCACTGTCAAATGCTTTAAGAAACACTAGTGATACTCTACAGATTCCTTACTATAATTATCTCTCTAGTCCACGCAAGTTTCTTTCTTGACTCACCAAATGCTTTGACTTAAAATAAAATTCCAAGCCATAACTAAAAGAGAGGAAGGTATTTTTTCTTCTTTTTCAGATTTTCAATATTTTACTTTTACATTTCAAAACAAAAATCAGATTGACAATTTTTTTTTAATTTGGAAAGAACATAGCATCTCCCAGTCAAATCCACTGGTTCAGAGATTAGGTTACTAAAATACAGACAAATTATTATAAACTATGAAAAGATAGTTAACTGGAAGGCTGAGGCAGGAGGAGTACCACAAGTTTGAGCCCAGCCTGGAAAACTTAGCAAGAACCTGTCTCAAATTTTAAAAAAAAAGGAAAAAAAAGGGCTGGAGATATAGCTCAGTGTAAAGACCCTACGTTCAATTCCCAGGCCCTATCCATTCCCCCACCCACACACACACACAAGGATAGTTTAAAAAGGGAGGGGCCTTGAGGCTGAAAGTTTTAGTGCTAAGCAAAAATGCCTGTTTAGCAGAGAACAGTGAAATGTATAAAATATTTACACTAGTCATTTTTAACAGACTATTATTTCTATCATTTGCCAGAAATATAAATATCATTAATTGTAATTTAAAGTTTTAAATGGGAAATTTAATAAGCATTGAATATAAGAAATTAGAGTAACTATTGCCCTTATTTTTAGTAATAAATTACAGACCTTTTGAAATAACTAATCACAGGTTTTTATTCCTATCTGCTTAAGTTTTTATTATGGAAACAACTGTCTAATCATTCTAATAATTCCCAATAAAATTTAAATGCAACATATAATGTTTCTAATGTAACAATTCACAATGATTATAAAACCACAGAATTATAGTTAGGACTATGAGCAATGACATGCTGATAAATTTTAACAACCAGTTTTTGGGGCAGAGGCCCCTGATTTGCAGCATTTTCCAATTTCCGTAGTGCAAATACTTTTTATGACTTCAAGTTACTAACATAAGGTCACCAATCAGAGAAAGAAGTGCAAACAACTGTCTCTCACAAAATTTTCCAGTTGACTCCAACATATCACAGGGTGTGAGAAACTAGATAGTGTAGCCTCTTCATAGCCGAAGGCTTTCAACAGAACTGTTTTTGCCTTTACAATCTTCTGTCTCCTAAAGACATAACGGCATGACTGTATAGTATGTTTATGTGCTTATCTATTCGGTACTCTATTATAATGGTTCTCATTATTTTTCAGATATGAAACAATAAGAAACACCTCATGACCTCATAACCCAACCAGCATACACATACATGCAGCTATATGTTCACATGCACAAGCAGATAAAACTAAAACACAAGCCTTACAAAATAAAACATACTCTTATATATATAAGGCATTAAAATCTTCTAATTTTAAAATTCTGATCTTGATCCACTATACTGGATTTATATCAACCTATTTGGATAGTGACCTAGAATTTGAAAAACTGCTGTAATAGACTATAAACCCATTGCAGGCAGAACTGTATGTCATTTGTCTGTATATTCCTACAGCTAGCAGTAATTATTCTTCCAAGGAGGTTAAGTAACTTCTCCAAAGATGTAACTGCTATAGTTTATAAAGAATCCCTCCAAGCAAGTTATAATTCCTGACATGAAACCAGGATACTTATGGCTGAAAGCTAGAGGACCTTCCAAGACAGCCACCCCTTTATCAGAAAATGACTAAGAATACTTTGTTTAAAACTCTGCCTACCCCATTATTGATCAAAGTTTGGCCCTTCATCCACTGTGGCCCTGCAATTCCCTTCTGCCCTTCCCCTTATCTGTGAGGTGCTCATTTCTCTATTGCTGATAAAGTTCACCCTCTACAGTGTTGAAAATAAACTCATCATTTTTATAAAACACCTTAATACTTTATAGAGGAAAGCTATATAAAGCTAATTGATATTAAATATATTATATGGAATAAACAAACTCTACATACAGTATACATTAATACCAGCTGTCTGATAAACCAAAGCCCAAGACTCAGCTGGAGAAAATTCTCAGGAAAACAAAATCTGAGCTTATGGCCTTTTCTATCCAGGGTGCTTGTATACCACTTTCTTTTTTATAGGTGCTATGAAATGTACACTATAGTTTCAGGACAATTCAGATAAGCATCTTCACTAAAAATACACAACACCATTAATCATCTCAGTGACAGTGCTCCAATTTAACATGTTGGGGATTTCTTCCCCTTCTTCATCATTTATTTGCCAATATTTCCTTGTTATGAATATCCCCCTAGTGACTTTCCCTGGCAGTCACAGCTGCGCTGCCGACTGTGTCTACCTTGACTGCAAATAACACCAATTCTTTTTAAAAAGCAAACCCTTGAGATTATTTCTACTATTAGAAAAGCCTTACTATGAACGTTACATTAGTAGCCTCGTTCAAGCTCCATACTCTAAAATTGACCAAACTCAGTCATTAAGTAGATAGTCATTTCACACCTCTGAAAATGGTTTCGCTATAATGACCAATACTTGACTGCTGATCATCAATTATTTGAACAGTCATCAACTGCTACTTTGATACCAGTCCTGAAAGAACTCTTTTCTTAGACAAAAGGCTTATTCAAAGTAACCAGGAAGCACAACAAAGCCACATATCACTAACAAATGACAGAAACCTGACCACCAAAAGCTCAATCTATGACTCACAAATAATTTTTAATATAATCAGAAACAATTTTGCATTATAATTACACCAATTCTGATGAAGAGAAGAATATGTTCTAGGTAACAATATCAGCATACAAAGCCAGAGGTAAATACATAGGCGAGATATGATGATATAAGTATTAATTAAACCATGCTAGGCAGGAAACTGGCCCAGCTTCATCCAGGGTCCATTTTGTGGCCATTTCAGAGTGGTCCTTCACAGCCATCGGCATTTCTTGATCATTTTAAAAGTAGAAATCATGAAAAAATTTGTTCTACCACCAGTTGAAGGAATAATCAAAGTAGAAGTCACTCACCACCTTGTATTCAAAAAGGAGTTTTAAGGAAAAGACTTTTTCTTGCAAAAACAACATCCTACTGCGAAAGAAGAGTATGAAGACAAAAATATACCAAAGTGTATTTGCTAACTATAACCAGGAAGACTTCTGTAGTATTATGTCTACATTACTTTATATTTTATAAGGGAATTTAAATGTTAATGTTGCTTCAAACAATATTCCATAAGTTTTCTGGAAGATTCCAAGTGGCCCAATGTTTAGAAAGAAAAAAAAAAAAACTTTCTTCATAGCACAAGCTATAGAAGTCAAGCCATAATATATTAAAATGCCATTTTCTTCCCAGAGCAGTGTTTACTTCAGTGATAGTAACAACACCTCGTTACCAAAAGTGCAGATTCTGTGAAGTAATGGACAAAGCAAATGGCAGCAAAGACAGAGGACTCAACTTCAATTTAACTGTCCTGCAAGGTACATAGTAATTAGCTGCAAAGCTCGGAAATCTTAGCTAGCATGTTAAGTCTGCTACATGACAGTATAATTTGACTTCTTAAAGGATTATGCAAATTACAACTCATCATTCCATTACAGGATTGAAAAAAAGTGACAGCTAATTTATACATAACACACCTTTCAAATCCCTAAGATGAGTAGCACCTGTGCAATGTATTTTGCCGAGATTTTCTTGCATATAAGTACTTGTTTATTGCAATATAAAGAAGCTTACCTAAGCGCTTTAATACAGTCATAAAAAAAACCCTTCAGACCACAATTTCAAAAGAATAAACATTTTTTCTGTCTTGATTTCAGAGCATTTTTTTTTCTTTTTGGTGGTTTTCACTTGGTTTGGTTTGTTTTTTTTTTCCCCACTAAATTAGATAAAATAAGGTTTCAATACAAGGATATTTCTGAATAGCTGGCAACCACAAGCACTGATGCACGAGCCAGAAGGAAGACTCACAAAGATTTCAACATACTTCTGGTAGGTAGATTCACAGTAGATTCCGTCATATCTGTAGATTTTCCTACATTCTGATTGGTTGGGCAGAGGATGCTGGGCAGTTATTCTGTAGAGGCATCAAAAACAGATAGACATGACTAGAGATTCTCTACAGTCAACCGGAATGCAGGATAACAAGTATGTTGAAATTTAATATATTTTGCTTTTTACCCTTTTGAGCTCTACACACAATTGCAATGTGTACATACATTTTAGAACATTAACTTCCACTTTTAGAAAACTGCATAGAAAAGCAACTTTGTTCAATTCATCAGAGCAATTTTTAAATCTCAGTCATAAAAGTGGAAGAAAAGAAAGAGACAGTTCTAAAGCTTAACTCAGTCTACAATCCCCATGATTTTATATATATAT